AGTGTAAAAATTGGAATTGGAGATATATCTGCTATTTTCGCTAAACATTCTATGTTACATCTTAAGAAATGCTGCCATTCTGTTTCTTCCTACAAAAAGATATAAAGATTAAAATAAATATAAACTGAAAAGAACTAACATAATCGAATTTTGTGAATTTCCTCACATTTTCATCCAAACTTTCTGTATCAAGATCTTTTAGTGTACGAGTATTAAGTTTAAAACTCATTTTTTGCAATACTCTTTCGGCAAGAGCTAAAGCTACTGGAGAATAACGAGATTGAGTACTTTCTAAAAGAGTAGTCCAAACATCTAAACATCGTAGATATCCGTTTACTGTTGAACATTGTTGAAAAGTATGGTGACACAAAACTTCTAATAATGTATTTACTGGAAATTTTGAACATGATTCAACTCTTTTTAGGTGATTTGTTACAAATAATTGTAAGAATTCCGTCAATTTTTCCATGTAACTAAAAATACAATATTTCTTTTATAAATATAATATAATCTCTAAATTATAAATATAAATATTTATATGATAAAAGATCACTTAATACCTTTCATTTATAGAATCTAAACGTTCCAGAAGCTGAAATAATGTGACTCCATTTTGAAATATTTCTACTAATAATCTATCGGTTACATCAGGTGAACATAATGGTCGATATAAAAGTTCATTTATCGTGGTCACGGCTTGAACAGCCATTTCAATTTGTTTACCATTCTATTGATAACATATAATTAATACAATTATTATAGTATATAAAAAAAAATAATAATTAATATATTTTTTAACTGAATTACAATATATTATAATTTAATATAAAATCCTACCATTGCATCATGATACCTGGCACAGGTAAAAATAGCATCCAATAAATTTGTAGAAATATGTTCTGATAATTCAATCCAACTAAACAGATGTGCTAATACATCCAATGTTGCTATGCACACTTCACTAGTTCCTGTGGCTAATCCTTCTACATCTAGAATAGTTCTTGCAGTTGCTACAGTTTGTCCACTAGTGGGTGATGGAGGTGGTGTAACTGTTCCAGAACGATTTTGTAATTTTGTTGTTTCTTTTAGAAGAACTATATATTTAAAAAAGTAATAATTACTTTTAAATAATCTTTTAAATAATATGTCTAAATAATTCAATATTTATTTAAATTATATATTTAAATTATAAAAATAATTTAAAATAATTTTTAGTTAAATTTTACTTCAAATTTAAATGAAATTAATATATATGCATAATGTAGAAAAAATTGTACTTGTAAGAGTATCCAAAGTCAAAGGCACTTGAGCACTAAGAAACCTAAATAACTCATTTTTCCTTTGTATTGGTAAATCTTCTCTTGGAGTTGCCAATTCTTCTGAAGCTGTTCGCAAATAGATAAGACCCAATAATCTTGTATGCTTGTGACTTAATAACTGTCAAAGGAAATAAAATTTTAGA